GCGGTGCCATTAAATATCAACCGATTTCAAAATGAAAAAAATAGGTGTCTCTTTATTTTCAATATAGAACAATTCTGGCAGGTGTCCTATTAAATTTTCAAAACTTCAAGTTTTTGTGGACCACCCTATTAACAACCCCCTGAAAAATAACTTTGTAATGATAGTTTTAGAAAGTGGATCACATTGATCAAATGTTCTTTTCATATTCGAATTTTTATTTCAATAAATCTGAATAAATGGAATATATATTTTTACAATTTACTAAGGTAAAAAAGGATAATTAGAGACACTTGTGGGTATTTTTGTATATTGGGGAACAAAAAAAGTTGACAAAATGAGGTTATTAGTTTTTCGGTTCTAACTGAAAAAGGCTGGTCCTCCGATGGACCAATTTTTTTTTACTTCGACTTCTGTGCCCTCTGGTGACCAGAAAGATCCAATAAAATTTTTTTTTATTTTTTCTTGATGAAATATTCGTCCTTAATATTGTACAAAGGTTTCTTTCCTTTAAATAAAGTAATTAACGAAAAAAAAATTTATTTGAACCCTTTTGTTACTGCTTGAAAACTAATACTATAAAATAAATCCTGTCAAATGAAAATTGTAGCTAATGATTTTTATGGGATATACATGCTCCCCCTAATAGTGTTTACCAAGTGTTTCTTCCTCTCTTTTTCCTTCGTGCATGACCCTGATTCAATAAAGGAGGTTCTACAATAGGTGCAAAAAGCAAGTGCAAGTACAAGTCTAAATGCAAATCTCATGAGTGCAAGAGAGATAGATAGACTATCTCTTTCACACTCATGAGATTTACACTTGACTTCTACTTGACTTTTGCACCAAATTCTCGAACCGCCTTAAAAGAATCCTTTCCTTCCTAAAAAAAATACTGTGATAAAAGGTTGAATAGAAAATAATCGACCTCGAAAAACTATCGACATAAGAAATGAGCATTGAGAGTGAAGAATGTAAATGGATTGGTGAAACATATTTCAAGATTAGAAGTGTACGGTTGGAGCTGCAGTTGATTTTGTCAAACATGAGCGCTAATATTTAAATTATATATAAATCTTATTTGTCAAAAAACACAAACATTGAAAATGTTTAAATTGTATTATATAAAAAAATTAATCACTAAAGTGTATTATATGTAATTCAACTTAATGACACTTAAATATTTTAATATATTATTTTCTTTGTTATTAATAAATAATTTATAAAAAAGAAAAATAAATGGTAATAAAATAGGAACCTTAAATAAAATTCATTGATAAAGTATTTTATCAACAGACTATAAACAATTTTAAGCAAATTGGAACGTAGTACCATAAAGATGAGCATAATTTAAAAAAAAGCAGAAAATGATTAGTGCATGAAAGATTATAGCGTAAATCACTCTTTCTTATTTCACATTCATACATTTTTTCTTTACATTTTGAATCGATATGGAATAAAAAAAAGCAAAAAAAAATTAAATTATTTGTTAAAATGAAATGAATAAAATAGAAATTGAAAAAGGCGCTTAGTTTAATAATAAAATACAAGTTCGGTTTTTTGAGTTAGTTAGGGAGAATTGTTGTTTTATTCGTCTTTGGAATTCGGATAATAATTCACGTACCTGGCGCTGGAGAAGCTCCCTAAAACGGATCACCGATGATCAAAGCATAAGTTCGAAGTGTGGAATTCATAATTCGAAGTTCAAGGAAATTTGATAGCATTTTTGAAATGAGAAAGTGGAATTTTTCACAAAGAAAAAGAGAAACTCATTACGATATATATAAGGTACTCTCTGAAAAAAGACACCCTTAAAAAAATTTTGGGATTGGCTTGATAATTTGATAAATTGTTGTCCTATATGTAAGTAACAAAATCTTAAAGTATGAACTCATTTTATAAAAATTATAAAAAGTGAAAGGGGTTGAAGTTTTAAGATTTTAGGTAACATTGTTAAATTCATATCCCCATAACTTCAACAAAACTTTATAGATTTTACTTTGTAGGGTTTTTTGTTCTGATTTCTATGTAGTTTTCAATTTCACAAAAATTTGTAAAAAATGTTTAACCCCATCTTTAGAAAAAGTAACCCTTATTTGTTAATTTTCATTTTAAACACATTATGCTCCTTTAAACATATGTTTTGTTATTTCATTAGAAAGCTGAGATTTTTTTCAACAGAACTGTATAAAAATAAATGTAAAAATGGGACAACATTGGGTTTGAAAAAAAAGTGAAAAAGCCAAATTTTTTACCGTTCCCACATAGCACAACATTTCGCAGGGAGTTCACAATGCGAAGTTGTTTAGTTCGCAATGCGAACTCCTTATATGCTGCGAATAGCAAAATGTCCGCCTAGTGTCGTGTATGTGAAGCGAACTCGCTGAGAACTTTACATCCGAGTTTACTAAGAATTTAAAATGCAAACTAGCTGAGAACTTTAAATGCGAATTTGCAGAAAAGTTGAAATGCAAATTTCATAAGGAATTTCTAAAAATATTTATTAATATAAATGTATTTTATATAATAAGTAATTATTTTTGTTTAATTATTATTTTATTATTATAAATATAAATAGATAAAAAATTATTGTTATTTATTTAGCGGAGAGGGCCCCAATATGGACATTTGATATAAAATTTTCGTATAAGTGTATATCGCCTCGTGATTTTTTTACTGATTTAGTTTGTTTAGATGAAGCTTTTTATATAAACACGGATCAAAAAGAATTATTTTTCTTCCTGTAACACATATCACATGGATTTTTCGTTTTAAAAAGTTTTGCAACAGTTTTTATTTGAGTCGGTAAAATTATCTATATTTTTGATTTCAAATAGGTGCATACCGTAATAACCTCATTTATTTATCGTATAATAGTATTCTAAAATAATTCAGTTGACACTGCGTATTTGTAAATAATTTTTATTTACGCCAAAAAAAATGAGGTCATTGGTCCTAAGATGGACAGTCTAATGGCCCTAAGATGGACATCACACCTTAATTTCTTAATTATATTTATTTTCAATGTTACAGTTTCTTAATAATGCTATAAGCCTCATAATTGAAATTTTTTCTTTTTCTACTTCGAAATTGTGTTGTTATCAATAGAGAATATGATTGCGTGTAAATTAAAAGATTAATTTATAAAACTGATAATAATATAATGAGCAAGCATTTGATAATATTTTTTGAAAACAATTAATTAAATCATTTTCCGGCAGTTGGAATGTCTAATATTAGGATTTCGATTTGTAGAGAATGATTGGAATTGTCTTTTCATAAATCGAGCTAAAGAACTTCAAAATGGTGGTCGAAACCTTTCATATTTTTGTAAGACTTTTGCCAGTAAAAATGACAACAGAGTTCTGTCTACTGAAACTCAGAATGAAAAGTAAATACCCAAAGAAAAAAATTTGTCATGTAAGATAAAGAAATTGAGGAGGTATTTATATGTTGATATAAATTCAGTATGCACAACAGAAAATAATGAGAAAATAATTTCGAGTCTTATTGTTAGTGAAAATTTTGATTCCATGACATATCCTACAATGTTTCCTTATGGTGATCCTGGATGGACTGTTAACCTTACCCACTCAAAAATTTACTAATGGCGCAGTACTGGCGCAGTACTGGCACCCAATATTGGCACCAGAGTTGGCGTAACTTTGAGATGATAACATTTAACCAGTCTTGGCTAACAGAGTTAGCACCAGTATTGGTAACCACTTCCAAATTATTATTTTAAAAAATCAAAAAATAAATATAAAAATATGTTTATTATAAAACCAAAGTTTTTATAATATATAAAAACAGTTCAGTAAAAATAAAAATGTTTATAAAACAATTATAATTTATATAATTATGCAATAACTATTTAATTATTTTATTATTCACTTTAATTAATTAATTATTATATCAAATATAAATAAATTAACATTGAATTCAATTTACATAAAACGAAATTATTTTACAAATTAACTCATCACAAATTCCACATACTAAATTCCTAAAATTAGGTAATTATTAAAAAAATCATCTAAATCATTTTTAAATTAACATTAAATTTTTCTTTATAATTCACTTTTGGAAAAAAACTGAAGAATAACATCTAGAAACAAATTACAATAATTTTATTGACCATTGAAATATATAAGTTTGTATGTTTAACTATTTTTTAAAATTTCTATTAAGAAAGGTTAATTATATATTTTATATTATTGATAATATAACATTTGTACAATTTTACTTACGATTGTATTTAATTTTTTTTAATTAAATTTATATTATAAATTTTATTTTAAAAAATATTAATTTTTTATAAACAAACTTATTTATTTTTAGTTTGATCGTTTAAAAATTTATTTTGTTTATTGCATATCTGAAAACAAAAAGAAAATTTTGCAAAATGTTTTATACTTGGTCTCAGGAAACTTTTTCTTTAAATAAAATTTTACCAACAGAAAAGCAAAATAAAATACATTTTAATTTTGAAAAATAAAATCAAGTTGAAAAAATTTTTATAAACAAAATATTTAAACAAAAAGATTCATCGGGTTCACTCTAGAACTTTTTGTAAACTAGTATTAATCAAAAAGAAAATCTATTTGAGCCAGTACTGGCTCAATATCGCCTCAGTACTGGTTTGCCAGTACTGGGAGGGTGGTACTGCACCAGTACGGATACAATAAAAATACCAGTACTGGTTCAGTACAGACTGCCCAGCCTCGGCAGCCAATACTGAACCAGTACTGCGCCAGTAGTCAACTCTGGTATAATACTGAAATTTTTGGTTGGGTAAGCATACTCAAGGTACTTGTAATTTTATTCATTTACAATTTTATATGTATCGTCTTTCATAGAGAAGAAAAAAGCGGGGATTGCCACATGTGCGTTTAATTATATTTTTACTTGCACAAATTTGCGATTCAAAAACTTTAAATAAAATGATATGTGCTGAAATCACAGACGACATAAAGAATCCAGTACTTTTTAACATAATAAACCGTCTCTCTTAAATGTTTTCAATTGTAAACACTGTAGGGATTGAACAGTTTTAATTTGATTTTGTGAAATTTATTGTGTATTTTTCGATATATAAATTGAAAAAATGTCGTCACGGTATTTAAAACTTCTACAAATCTGTGATTTTGTGAAAGGGAACTTAAATAGGAGAAATATGACCGAAGGAGAAGCTGTTTTGAAAGCAGGACAAGTAGTGCTGGTAGGTTGTTTGTTAAAAACTGAAAATAAAATAGACATAATTGGCTTGGTGTTACAAACTAGTGCTTTAACCTCATTTCCTCACAAATTAGAAGGCATATTAAAATTTGCTTCCAATTCAAACATTGAAATAGAACAAATGGATTGTTCTTGTAAAGGAGGACAATCAGGCGCATGTAAGCATGTAGTAGCAATTTTGCTATTTTTGGAAAGGTATGTTATTAAATATAATTCATATATTTATTTAATAATAAATAAACAATATTAAAGTAATTATTTAATAGGAAAATATAATATACCTATAACTTTTATTTACATAAATATATTCTTTAAATCTGAGTTAGTTCAACAGTAGTTAGAAAGCAAAATGTCAGTTATTAATTTAAATAGTAAATTTTCTACTAATTATTTAATAGAAAATAACTTTGATTAAATTAACTTTTAGGTTATGTAATGATAATTAAAATTTTAAAAACAGGTATTTGTGAAACCCTCGTTGAAAATGTCTTTGATTTTTAATTTTTAAATTATTGTTTTTTTAATTCAATAAAATAGATATAATATTTTTATGTATATATATAATCAGGTTATATGTTCGTAAAAAATAAACAAAGCACACCATTATTAAGAAAAGAGTTAATAATATTTGTACATTTGTACATATTCATATTTGTACACTATTCAAATTATTTTTTTACTCATATTTTTTTAGCCATTCTAAAAATTAAAATTTTTGCCATTACTTATTATAATTTGATATGACAAAGTCAGCTAAAATTTTACTGGCATGTCTTCTAAAGTTAATTAGATTCAGAGAGTAAGACAATAATTTTATTGTACGTAAAAGATGAAAAACTTGATTGCATAATTTTTTACAGGAATAATATGGATCTTGAAAATTTATCATGCACGGATTTGCAATGCACATAAAAATCCCAAAAAACTACGATTGTTACCTATTTCTCTGCTGTTCCAGTAAATGAATTTTGTTGTGCGAAACAAGAGGAGAATGAAAATGTTAACGAAAGGAAAGTAACTTTTGAATACCAGGACCTTAACTCAAATTTGTCTTCGGAAAAATTAAAAAAATTATGTGATGCTGCACCCAAATCAGCTGTTGCTTTATATATTGCAGGTCGAGGAACTTCATCAATATATGACAGCTCATTAATTCGTTATGAAAAAAAGTTACTTTCTGAAATAATCATAAATAGCCAAACGAATAACGAAGCTATTCGGGAAATAAAATTTGACGTTCCTATTAAACCAACCAAGATATTGAAATCATTAAAGATAGAAAATTCTCTTGATTTTTGTTTTAAAACAGCTGTTAATAGAAAAATTTGGCATGATGAAAGAAAATTACGTATTTCTGGATCTCGAATATATGATATATATACCTACACACAAAACTCTAAAGCTAATTGGAGTTTAAAAGCTCAAAAATTCTTTTGGCCTCAAGCAATGTGTAATAAATATGTTAAACACGGATTGATGTTTGAAGACGATGCTAGAGATCGATATTCAGAATTGTTTAATGCTGATGTTGTGCAATGCGGTTTTGTTGTTCATCCTGATTACCAGTGGCTGGGATATACTCCAGATGGAGTAATATTTCGAAATGGGAAACCTGAAAAACTTTTGGAAATAAAGTGCATCTATAATGGAAAAGATTCAAAAATTTCTGACTGTTTGCAAGAAATCACGTTTTTAGATAAAGAGACCAGTTTTTAAAAAAAACATAAATATTATGGACAAATCGAATTAGGGATGCTAATTTTAAATTTAAATTCATGCGATTTTGTTGTGTATGCATCATTTGATAAATCGTTACATGTTATAAATGTTCCATTTGACCAAACTTTTTCAATACAAATGGTAAATGAGGCAAGCATTATTTACATTTCAAAAATGTTGCATTCAATTTATTCTGAAACTGATATGACTGTTTAAATAATTAATTAAATTTTTTAAAAAATGAATTAAAATTATTTTTAAAAAAATATTTTTTTTCGTGTGAAAGGTAATAAGAAAACAATAATGTGATAAATTTTTTTTTTATTAAACACGTAAATTATTTGTAAATAAATAAATATTTATATACCAACCATCGTATGTGTTAATAATCTGTTTAAGAAAAATAACATTAATGTTTTAATTCAGTGAAACTTAAAAATTAAAATTTATCAGATAATAGAACCGGTGTTGACAAATTAACAAGAGCGCAGGCAATTTTGAAAATATGGTCAGCGTAGTCTAACAAACCCCAAGAAAAATTATTACTCAGTATTTTCAATATTTTTATGCGCTGGTTAACTCTTTCAATATGCACCTTTGCTGCAGCTATTGTTCTACTTAACTGTGCTTCTTCAGAAGTTAGTTGACTATCATGCATAAATGATGGACGAAATAATTCAATATGATTTTCAGCACATAATGATTGTATTAAAAAACCTTTGTCAACCATTATCCCGTCAGTACCACTAATCATTTCATTAAGTAATTCAGATTTTGAGAATATTTGTTGATCTGAAGCTCTTCCACCATAAGCAGGACTAAAATAGGATATTAACCCAGCAGGAGTAACTCCAACTAAAAACTTTAGTGTAAAACTAGATTTGTATTGTGAGTAACATCTAATTCGTCATCTTAAACATTTGGACTTTTCAATTGGAACCTCCGTACAATCTAATACTATTCTCGTAGATTTAAAATTAAGAAAGCATGTTGACATGTTATCATTTATTCCTTTTCGTGATGAAAATCTTGAGACCACAGGTGTAAGGACCGTTGATAAAAGAAGAATTGTAGTTTTAAATAACCTCGAACAAGTGTGTCTACTTATTTTTTGAAATAAAACGGATCACAGAAAATTATAAGGTATTAAAATAAGCTGCAACGCTTATTATTTTAATCCAATTTTGCTTATTTTAATACCAAAATGGATTAAAATAAGCAAAATTGAATTAAAATAATAAGCGTTGCAGCTTATTTTAATGCCTTTTAATTTTCTGTGATATCATTGCATAGGACAAATCTTGTTTAATTTTTACCCTGTTGGCAAAAAACCATGTTCGTTCTAAAAACGTTTTTAGAACGTTTCATGGCTACCAAATAATGTTTTGGAACATTATTTGAACATCCATATTCTTAAAATGTTCCAGAACATTATTTGGCGGACATGAAACGTTCTAAGAACGTCCTTAAAACGTTTTAAGAACAAACATGGTTTTTTGTCCACAGGGTTAGCAAAATATGTTTTCCATCTTGTCTGTCAGTCCATATACTTTTAGCTGAATCAACTAAAGCATCTAACAGTTTCAAAGAAGGAATTCCTGTTAAAGTATTTAATACTCCATCCGTCGTTATTAAAGAAATAAATGAAAACTGAAATTGATCTGCAGTAACTTGAATACTTTTACAATTAGTTTCTGAAATAATCGCATTCGCTTTTTCCTCTAATTTAGAAGAATATTCTTTTAAACAATTTTCACTAAAATGTAAAAGAAGAAATGCATCTCTATCTTCGGTAGTTAAAGGAATTTCTTCATTTATCAAATCTACAGGATCAGATGGAAAACAATTTTGACAAGTATTTCTATCTTTTTCTTCTAACTCTTCTAGAGAAATATCGTTTAATTTATCTTCCAGTTGTTTCATGACCCCTTCTTCTTCATTACTACTCGTGCTTATATGCTTCTTCTCCTTTCTACCCATGCACAAAAATATACCTAAAGCAGAAAATTAAAAAGTAGTATAGATATTAACAAAAAATTTAACAATTTCGAAATCAATAATCTTACAAAATTAAATTATAATAGAATAGAATACATCAACTGTGCCAAAGCAAAATATAACACTGAAATATTAATAATGCAATTGTCATAATTTTTATTTAATTATTGGAATATTTTGTGCAATATTTTAAAAATTTAAAAGAATACATTTTTAAATAATTTTAAAGACGCTACTCTTTAAGAAGGTAAAATTAAAACCAAAATTTCTCAAAAATTGCTGATAAAATCGTGAATATTGTATAAAAAGTTGAATTTTTAGTCCTACAAAATGTGTTTTGTTAATAAATATTTTATAACTAATAATTTTGCTTCCTCGTGGAGGAAGCTTTGTAGTCCTTTCGTTTATAAAACTTTTCAAAGTGGAGGAAACAAATTTTTTTCTTTATAGAAACATGTTATATGAGATCCTGATCAATTGTCCGGATGTATGTATGTGTGTGTGTATGTGTGTGTGTGTGTGTGTGTGTGTGTGTATGTGGATCCCTTTTTTGTTTAGAAGATAACTTTAACAGGTTTTAATGGATTTAGATAAAATTTGGTAGGCTCATTTATCATATTAATATCTCAAATCTGACCAAAGGATTTTGAAAAATACCCCAAAAAAAAAATTTTATCGTCTTTTTTCCAAAAATTTTTTTTTAATCGAAAAAATTTTTAAATAGAAAAATTTAAGGTTATATATAATAAAATCATATTCCTTACGTCAAGACGAATCGATCGATATATATAAAGTATACATTTGAGGTAAATTTAAAGAATTAATGAAAGTTAAAAAATCAAAAATTCACATTTTGGCTATAAAATTTTGTGATTTTTTAAATTGAAGTTTATATATGAAATAATTGTATTCCTTACGTCAAGACGAATCGATCGATATATATAAAGTATACATTTGAGAAAAATTAAAGAATTAATGAAAATTAAAAAATCAAAATCACATTTTGGCAATAAAATTTTGCTTTCTCCACGAGGAAGCAAATTTTTTTGCTGATCGTAAAGAGGAAGCAAAATGTTCATGTAATGAACATCTGAATTAACAACTTGTTTCAAATATTACATAATGGAGTATTTTAAAACTTAATTTATAAAATCCAAGCATCTACACACTGTTATACACTCATACCTTACAGTTTTCTAAGCTATACGTAAAAAGATCTTCTCTAATTAAATAAAATTTTATAAACAATTAATTATCAATTTTCAATAACTATGAAGAAAATTCTCAAAGAAAAATATTAATTCCCTCTTCCTTATTTTATGTGCACTCCTGTTACCAAAATGAAACATTACAATATGGCAAAACCTGTAAAAATATAATTAAAATGAATACAAATCCGCTTATCAGTTCCTATATCACCACCTGTGAACTGAATAAAAGACATATTTATATTTCTTAAATACATATAATAATATTAATAATAAAATTAAAATCACCTCGAATTACGAAATAGATTTCGATGACATCTTTCCTTTAACAACTGTTCCGTGCTTTGGAGCTTGCGGTAAATTCTTACTTGGTAGAGCGTTTTTTTCAAACTTTTTAATTTTTGAATTTTGACCTGCATATTATTATATATGAATATTTAATGCATATGAAGCTTATTTACCATACACATATTTTTTTTTATTCACCTACGAATATATATATAAAAACAACATACCTAAATAATAATAATCTTCACGTACAAAGTGTTTTGAACACACTTTCATGTAAAGTGAATTAGGTTTACCCATTTTAAATCGTCTCATCCATTCTGTATGACAATTAACAAAGTCTTCATTTCCAAAGCTGTTTATTACTTTAGTTTTTAAAGCTCCTTTCTTAAGCCATACATGAAACGACAAATTTCTTGATGTTTTGGCCCGTGAATAACATCCTGGCACAGAACAGAATGTTCTACACTTGGATGATTTTTTTGGTGAAAATGAAGCACCCTCTTCATTCATTTTACCCTATACACAAACTTCAATGTTAATATTAAAAATCAATAAATATATAAGAATAAATAAGATAAAAGTTGAGCTCATTAAACTATTACATAAAACACATAACCTGAAATTTATACATAAATATATTTTTTTCTATATTTATAATTGATATTCTGCTGGAAATACTTACAGTTATAAAAATTTCACATGAACACTAAATTATTCACAGGTCTGTGTTGAGTGACAACAACAAATTAAAATATTATTTGTTTAAAAACAATTGGATCACACCAATTCACGTTTGACAGAAATAAAGAGAGACTTCTTTCAAAGCTTAATTAAATGGCCGCTAGGTTTCGCATGTTTCGTGCTCATCGCGAATTCATTTCACATTTCATTTCATTTGATTTCATTTTTACACGTGGTTAACGACACAAATGGTGGGCTAATTTGAAATCGGTTTAAAAGAAATATTTTAGTATTTGCTTTATAATGGAATATAATAATCACCCAGTAAAAAAAATTTGGGAGTAAGCGAAAAGAATTGGTGGTAACTTAAGCTGAATTCGGTTTGGCGAAAAAACCGAATTGGAACGTTACCCCAGATAGCACGCAAGTCTTCTGCCAACTTGCATTACAAGTTTTGCAAGTTTGCTGACCCTACTGAAAATCCCTGTATAAGATCTTGTACAATTTCCTGTACTGGATCAGCAACTGAACTTGTACAAGTTCTGACCAGTTCCTGTACAGGAAAATGCATACGAATTTGGAACAAGTTCATGTGTGAGATCTTGTACAAGATCTGGTGCAAGATTTTGTACAAGACAGATACTTGTACAAGAAAATGTACATGATCTTGTACAATTTCATGTATAAGTACTTGTACATGAACACGTTCATGTTCTTGCACATGTATAGTTGTAAAATTTTTTTTTTTTTAATAAAATTTGAGATTTTGATAATTTTTAACCACTAAGATTCGTAACCCATTTATGCTAAAAACTATTGCGCATCTGTAAAGGTTAAAGTAAACTATTGCGCAGCCTTTGAAGTTTTTAATTTTTAGTAAAGAAAAACATGAATTAACATGTGCAAGAACATGGACGTGTTCATGTACAAGTACTTATACATGAAATTGTACAAGATCATGTACATTTTCTTGTACAAGTATCTGTCTTGTACAAAATCTTGCACCAGATCTTGTACAAGATCTCACACATGAACTTGTTCCAAATTCGTATGCATTTTCCTGTACAGGAACTGGTCAGAACTTGTACAAGTTCAGTTGCTGATCCTGTACAGGAAATTGTACAAGATCTTGTACAGGGATTTTTAGTAGGGGAAAGTCGGCTACAAGTCTACTCGAAGTTTGCTGCACGCTTTCAGCAAGTTTTTTGCAAGTTTGATGTAAGTTTGCTGAAAGCTAGCTGGAAACTGTTATTAATTTATTATTCAATTAATTAATTAATTAATTAATAATTAATACGGTGCAGCCGTCTGTGCCATAGAAAACTACTACGCATAAATATTAATAAAATTTATTTATTAACAACATTCTATTTTTACAGTAACCTTACATCAACCATACATGAACCTTACAGTAACCTTACAGCAACCATACATGAACCTTACAGTAACCTTAAAGGAAACTTACAACAACCTTACCGTGTAAGCTTACCAAAACCTTACCATGTAAACTTACCACGACCTTACTGTGTAAGCTTACCTTAGCTTTACTGTGTAAGCTTACTATAAGGCGTAAGTTTTAAGATGACCTCAAGTTCACTGCAGGTTTACACGGTAACCTTACAAACCCTACAGATATCCTTACAGTAGCTTCACAGCAAAAAGTCGTGCTATGTGGGCTGGAAGGTAAAAAAAATGTACTGCGCAGCCCTATATGTTATAGAATTTAACTGCGCATTTTTTTTTAGTTTTGCAAAATATACAAGTCTTTTTCAAAGGGTGGCCCATTTTGCAAGCTTGCAGCAAACCTGCAGCAGACTTGCGTGCTATCTGGGACGGTGAATTATTTTTTTCTTACCGTAAATTTTTTTCTCTTGAACATTTGAATTGACGTTTGTTTATTCGAGTTTGCATTATAAATGAATAGAATAAATGTTTCGAAGTGTAAATAAGCCGATTTGGAATAAGAAATATATAATTTTTTAAAAAGAAATAAAAGCGAAGAGTGACAGATTCACCGACAATTTTATCAAGTGTTCATATGATAAATTTACCATATGAGTACTATACTCACATGGTAAAATTGTCGGTAAATCTGTCACATTTCTTTTTTATTTCTTTTTAAAAAATTATATATTTCTTATTTCAAATTCACGGTAAGAAAAAAATAATTCACGGTAACGTTCCAATTCGGGTTTTTCGCTAAACCAAATTCAGCTTAAGTTACCACCAATTCTTTTCGCTTACTCCCAAATTTTTTTTACTGCTCATCCAAATAATGATTTTAACAGTTACTTTTTTTTAAACTATTGTAAAAATATTATTATTCTGCATTAAAAACAATTTTTATATGGGTGATTTTCCCCAAACTGTGATTTTTATGTCCCAAACGTAAATCAGGGCTATTAATAAATTAACGTTCTACTTCATATAAACTATATTTTGAACTCGTTATTCTAAGTGAGCCTACATAAAAAAGTTATTTATTTTTATTAATGTAACCACACAAAACAGTCTTTAAATGTCACTACCGTGGCATGTCCCAAACCCATTTTTGTACCTTTTCATCTGTTTTTAGAAAACAATGATCAAAAATGCAAAAATTTGATAACATATTAAATATAATTAGATTCACTATATTTATGTGCATTAGTTTACCTATTGTTTACAAAACGTCAATAAACTTTGTCCCCAAAAAGGGACTTGATAGTTGTTTTATTAATTTTGTTCGAAAGTTATCGAATCTAGGGCAGTTCCAGAGTACATGTTCCAGATCTTCTTTACTCTCAGGATTACAAGGACAAATCCATACAATTTGTTTTCTTTTGATGTTTGATGCAAACCACGGCTTTCTTCGATAACGGTAGAACTTTTGGGTTTAATAATTATGTTCTAAAAGAGCGTCCTCTAGTGAGATAGTATTCTTGTCTTTTATTGTTGAGGCATTCTTTGACTTTTGCAGTAAAATCTGAATGAGGTAGGTCAATATTCAAAAGACGAGCGTTTTCCGATTCAAGCTTTGCGGATTTATCAGCGATTTCATTTTCCTCTAGGCCTAAGTGTCCTGGGATCCAAATGAGAAAGATGTCGCAGTGAAGGACTTGTAAGGTAGCCAAACGATTTCGAATGAGAAAGACAATATAAGAATTAATAGAGGTAGGGTTAGGAGAAGAAATGCTTTTTAATGCACTTAAAGAGTCAGAGAATATATCAACTTTTTTGTGATTGATTTTTACGATATAATCGAGAGTTAGGAAAATTGCAAATGCTTCTACTGAGAATATAGATGCTTCGTCATTAATTTTCCAAGGTTGGATAATTTGTTTTTAGGTCAAACTGTGGCACACCCCGCCAATTTCTCACTCACCGAATTTGTTCTATCAGTGTAAAAGCATAAGTAATCTTTAAAATCACTGTTTATAATGTCTTTGAAAAGAAGTGAAGGTTTAATAAAATTCTGAATGGTATGTCCTTGGACATAAATGGTCTGTCAAGTAAACCTACAGATGTGATAATCTCCGATTTTAATGAAACTTGGTATGAATGTAGTACTCGGAAAAATAAGAGAAATCACCCCTTGAAGTAATATTGGGTGTAATGTCATAATTGGAGGTTATGGTCAAACTATTACAAATAGCTAAACAGTGAATACCGCAATGAAAACATTAGAAATAAATATAATTTTCCATAGAAAAATATTTAAAAAATTCAATTGTTTAAACAAATACTTCAGTACAACAAAAATCTTAAAATCTAATAACACTATTCGATTCTATAAAAAAATACAACGAAACTGTGTCTTGCAAAACTTTTTGTTATTTCAATTTACATACAAAAAATAAACAATTTTATAACTAATAAAAACTTTGCTTTGACAGTACGAAAACTGTCTACGGCGTCATGAAATAAAAACACTGAGATGAAAACGTTTGATAATAAGGTGATTATCCACACAAAAATAAAAACATATTCAATTGTTTAATCAATTATTGTTTAAACAAATACTTGAGTACAACAAAAATCTAAAAATCTAATAACGTCGTTCAATTGTACGGAAAAAATACAACGAAAGTGTATTAAATTGATTATCACTAATTAACAATTAATCTATTAACCCATTAATGCTTATGGACAGAGTGAAGCAAATATCAAAAAAACAACTGTTGGGATCCTAGCATGAGACCTATCACTGAATTTTTATGTAAAAATAAAAAAATTGTTTATAACAATTTGTTATAAACAAATAATGAAATTTTGAATTTTTTTAAAAAAATGACGTCATTCGTTTCCACGTGAAAAATTAATACGAGAACATGTGTGACATTTTTTTCAACTTATATTGTAAAAATGTTGCAAACAAATATAATGCACTTATACTTGTCCTGCCCATGGGCAGAGAGAAGTAGGTATGAACAAAACAACGAATGGGATCCTAGCATGAGACCTAGCAATAAATTTTCACGTTTAAAATTTTTTGAAAAAAAATTATTAATAACAATTTGTTATAAACAATTTAACAAATTTTTCAAAAAAGTATCAACGGTATTGAATATTTATAAACAAAGAAAGAAATTATAACTTTTAAAAAAAATTAATCCTACATTACGATTCTACGTGAAAATACTGCGAAAAAACTCGGAAAAAATATAACATTTAATATTTATAATTTTGTGTGGTTGTTAAAAGGTTAGCAATTATCATGCCCCTGTATCAACTTCCTGTATCAAATTGTTTAAAAAAAATTTTTTCAACAAGTTCTCAATAAATATTATTATGGTTTTTCCATTGCCGATGCGAAGTTCTTATTAGTTATAAAATTGTTAATTTAATTTTTTTATGTAAAATGAAGTTTAAAAAATTTTCCAGACACAGTTTCGTCGTATTTTTTTCTGTAAAATCAAATGGCGTTATAAAATTTTAGGTTTTTTGTTGATCTAAAGTATTTCTTTAAACAATAATTGTTTAAACAATTACATTTTTTTATTTCTGTGTGGATAATCATCTCTTTTTATGAATGTTTTCATCTCGCGGTTTTTATTTCACGACACCGTAGATAGCACAAGCCTGCTAAAAATAAAAATTTCCATTGTCAGAGATAAGGAAGTCATTTCCCGTAGTTTCTGGTGCAATGATTCCGAATCTAGCAACGTAAACGTCCCATCACGTCAGTATTTTGAGAAAAGTGGGGGTGAAAGTCCCAAAAAACACGTTTTGTCAGTTTTTGAAAATTTCTACTAGGTAAATCCAATGTGCTAGACACTTGTCATAAGAGTCAAATTAAAGCTTGAACCCTGTACTTAACCCTTTTTTGCCACTATGTTTGAAAGTTACTCTGATTGGTGTAAACTGGACAAAAATTGACAAACATCCTACTTTCAAGGGTTAAAAAAGTTTTTAACAGAGAGCGCTTCACAGTAACGGACATACGACTATTGAAAATGGTATTAATTTAAATGAAATTAATCCCCTTCCTAATGGCAATGGCAAGGCCTCCGCGATTAAGAATTGATCTATCAGCTCAGATTAAATTGAAATTTTTATCTAAGGAAAATGATTTGTTTGGTTTTAAGAAGGTTTCCGAAATTAATAAAATATCGTAATCCTTAGATAGTGTTACAATGTCTTGTTTTTAGGGTTCCGTACCCGAAGGGGGAACCCTATTAATGAGACTAGTGAAGCAAGGCATGTACCCCCCCCCCCCTAGCGGTCACACGAATTTATCTAGAGGGCTGAAATTTGGTATACATATGTATTTTGGCGTGTAGATTACAGGAAAAATATAGCGAATCTCATAGGAATTGATTATCATAGCGTTGTCAAGGAAAAACCATGAATTTTTACGAAAAATCCCTGAAAATGACTATGTACCCCCCCTCTGGTTGCCACATCTTTTTACATAGAGAGCTCAAATTTGGTACACTTATGTATTTTTACGTGAAAATTACAGGAAAAATATAGCGAACATGATTCGGATCAATTTACATAGCGTTGTCAAGGAAAAATCAAAAATTTTGAATAAAAAGCGTTTAATCCACAGTTCATATTTGGCATACTTACGTATTTTTGCGTGTAGATTATAGAAAAAATATAGCGAGAACGATTCGGGTTGATTATCATAGCGTTTTCAAGGAAAAACTGATAATTTTCGTTTAAAATCATGAATTTTCCTCAAAAACCGAAGAAAATTTTATCTAAAGAGTTTCAAATGTATACTGCGACCCGAGTTTAGCGAAATCTCGGAAACGGCAACAATAGGATGGTAATTAAGCGGTAAGCGTAAGATGCTCCGACTCGAGCAGGAGCGTAGAAGTAAGGCAACGCGGTTCCTTCTAGTTGAAAATGAGTACCAAGCGGAGACGTTTGTCTGGGAGGTACAAGGTTCTTTAATCTTTAATTTTAAATAAAAAATTTGTTAAATTATAAAAGCTTATTTATATACATGTATACAAATTTTATTTTTGTTTTCACTCCCAGCAAATTTATAAATTTACTTTATGAAAATCTTAATTTTAATATTTGCTCTCAATGTTATATTTGATGAAATTTATATTATTTAATTTCAAATAAATTTTAAATTTATAAGGCAAATGGTGAGTTTTTCCCCTTTCTTGTCTGATGTCAGTACAATTATTTGAATTTTTATTAAAAGTAATTTTAAGTATTACTTATTACTGTTTATAATTATAATAAAATCTAAAAATTAAAATATAATTATAATAATTATTGCAATAAAAATATTATGTATTATAAGATGAAGAATTTTCAAAAAAAGAGTTTAAGGATTTCGTATTTCAAGTAGTTCGTACGGCCCTGATTGCTGACGCCGATTTCGGGAAATCTCATTACTGAGTTTAGCGAACGACCCACCAAACCTGCCGCTAAACTCAGGTCGCAGTGTATAAACTTTTACGTAATTTTGCATGTAGATTACAAAAAAAATATAGCGAGAATGATTGAAGTTGATTATTATAGCGTTTTCAAGGAAAAACTGATAATTTTCGATAAAAATCATGATTTTTCACCAAAAAAATTTTTTAATTGAGTTTTTTCAAAACATACAATTTTTTTAAAAAGTGGACTTTTTCCTTAAGTTTTACAATTTTTGACCTAGAAAGATAAAATTTTCTTCCTTTTTTTGGGACAAATTCTTGATTTTTTTTCAACTCCAATTGTGCTTGCTATATTTTTTTGTAGTGTTTTGCCATTCTTTATAATTTGCCATTTTCAATTTTTTACCATTTACTATTTTTATTATCTTTTGACATTTTTTATTTTTTGATATTTTTATTATTTTTTAGTTTTATTAATTTTCAAATCTATGCGCTCACATTATTTTCAAATTTATGCGTAGATTATGTTCTATGTTTATGTCTATGAATATGTCTATGTTTTCTATCTAGGCCTTCAAACTTTAAACCCCTCAAATTTTAGGTTTAAGGGTACGGAACCCTCGGTTTTAATGCGAGTGTAACTCGCACTTGTCCGATTTTTTTTATTGTAATACCTTGACTGTTCCATTGCATGATTTCAAAGTTATTAATGTGAGCCATATTAAGGTTTAGAAAATAGTTAGAGAGGGTTGCAAAATTGGAAAACCGATTGTTCAAAAGATTATTAAACTCTTCAGCTTTAGGTGAAGGAGTAGAGTTAAAGGTTTCTAGAAGGTTTGAAAGGGTATGGTTTAGGGGTACTATTCTATAACTTCACTTTCACTTTTACTTTCACTTCACTTCACTTTCACTTCACTTTCAATTCATTTTTACTTCATTTTTATTCATTCTGGTTTATATGCGACTGTACTTACCTTTGTTTTATTTTGAAATTAAGTTTGCAGTTTTCAGAGTTTGTCGCTTTAATTGCGACATCGAAATTGCGTTTGGACATTCTCGCCACAAATTTGTTATATGAAGATTCAGAAGACTCAAATTAATAAAAAATAATTATGTTAAATTATTTTTGATGACATTTTTCTCAAAATAAAATGGCGAAAATTAAAAAAAAGTTTTGAAATGAGTTTCGATTTCAGTAATGACTCTGTCATTCGGCTGCTTCTTCATTAATCGGATCCAAAATCAAAGTATATATATGCACACTGACATAAATGACATTTACGTGAAATGACAAATTTCTAAGTCATAGAATACGAAAATAAAAGCCGAATGGTGATATCGCCCCACTCTACTCTAAAGGCCAACGCACAATAGATTCGCGAAAGAGATACATGAGATAGAAAAGGTTACAAATATATCTATGTCCTTTTCTGACTCATGTTTTACGTTCGCGAACGACTTTCGCAAAGCTGTTCAGCTTTGTCTTTAACGCATATGCTAGTTTTTCCTTTCTATGATTTTCCTACACAAAAAAATTGAAAATTACTACTTTAAAATAGATAAATTCTTATTAAAGTAAACAAAATTCTCAATTACTGTAATACATTTTCATAAAAGTCCCTTATTTCCGGACTATGCACAACAAAATAGTAAAACATAGTGTTACATTTTATAAAAATTAACGCTACGGGTCTCTCCGTGCACGTGCTAAAAAATTCCAGTGGTTAGTAAATAAGGAAACGAAAGTATATAAAAAATATATACTATTTCTTTAGCTTTTTTTCAGATCGTTGTCATGCGTATTAGAATGCGTACATTTTCATAGTAATTTTCTTTCAGTGGACATTGACATTGACATTGACATTGACATTGACATTGACATTGACATTGACATTGACATTGTCATTGACATTGTCATTGACATTGACATTGACATTGACATTGACATTGACATTGACATTGACATTGACATTGACATTGACATTGACATTGACATTGACATTGAAAAGTTATATAAAATTCACCGAATTATTACTTCTATGTATTTATATACGTAAAACCAAGAAAATTCCTGGCGGGGAATCCCTATAACAGAAGCATATTTTAATACAAATTTATTATGTCAGGAATAAATTATTTTTTTCTGAAATTTCATCTTTCTATCCCTAGCATATCGCTGACCGTGATGGAAGCACACTTTAATGACGCACGTATCAAATAATTATATTAAATTATTTTCGTTTCTGCTTATTCTGTTATTTACAAGTGACTTTCTGAAACATTTTTCTGTTGTATTTATATTAATTTAGAATATATGAATGTTATTTATTTTGTAAATAATGAAAGAATAATATTATTAATATCACAGGCACACAAAAAATAAAAAGCTGTTTGGCCGAGACACTACACTAGTCTAATTCCAAATATTTTTTCACGCTGAATCCGAATCCGAAGTCCGAATTATCAGATTGGCTTTTATTTTTGAGATAAACTCAAAAAACTGATCAGAAAGAAAAATAAAATCAATAAGTTAAAAAATATTTGAATGTCACTGCGATAGTGTAATCCCATGTATTTTTTGTCACTGAATCCGAATCCAAAGTCAGAATTGCTAGATTTGCTAAAATTTTTTAGATAATTGCAAAAAAACGCAAGTAACAATAAACTCAAAATACTCAAAATCAGTTTTTTGGAATTATCTTCAAAATTTGAGCCAATTTGTCAATTCTGACTTTCGATTCGGATTCAGCGTGAAAAAATACATGAAAATAGACTAGTGTAGTGTCTGGGCCAAACCACATTTTACTTTTTGTGTGCCTGTGTATTTAATATATCCAGAAAACTGATTAATTCAGTTAACAATATTTTTCTATTGTTTAAATTAGTTTTACAATTTAATAAATAATACTTTTTTATTGTTAAATTATTTTTATTGGAATCTTTTAATATTTTATTAAATCTTGTGAAGATTTTACTAGTACTAACCAAATTTATGTAACGGAGAAAGGATTTCATTCAAATATTTAAACAATAAAAGCATTAAAACCATGTTTTTAAAATGAATAATATTAAAAATAATAAATATTAAAATAAATATATATAATTTAATTTTAAATAATAATATTAAATTAAATAATAATACTTTAATATTAAATAATAATATTAAATTTTAAGTTGAACAAAATGAAATTATTAATTATTACATTTTAATGCAGTATTAATATTTATCCTATCTTTCAATATACTACAACTATTTAAAGTTTATTTTCGCTTCGGTAAATCAGAGTTTAATATACAAACATCAAACAACGTGTTCATTTCAGGACCTCATCATGATACACTTATATTCAATATTAAAAGAGGGATTACAACTAAAATAGCGATCAATTTTATAAATATAGGTAAAATGTAAACTTTATATACATCAATCGATTCGTTTTCATGCCGGGAATATAATTTTGACAAAATTAAAATCTACTCGAGTTTTGCATCAATTACTAAAATTACTACTTTCTATTACTATTTCTAAAATACATTACTTGTATTTACTAACAATTATAATAAAAAATCTTGATGAGTTTATGACTTTTGAGCAACATAAAACCAAAAAAATTTTTGGGTCACAAAAAAACGTCCGTAGCGCGAAGGTTAATTAAAATTTCTATATAAGAAAAAGTTATTTCAAAAAATATAAAAAACAATTTTTTTTTTAAATCAAAAAAATGATTTGATATATAGATTTCACTAAAATATGTACTGTATATAGGTTAATCGATTCGTTGTAATGCAAGAAATAAGTTTTTTTTACCAAACAAAATTAAATTTAGAATGAAAAAAAATTTTTTAATTTTGAAAAAATTGTAAAAAAAAGTTGTGAATATATTTGGAAATCCTTGTGTCAGATTTTAGGTATTAATGACTGCATTAAGCATACAAAATTTCAGGACAATCCGTCAAAACGTATCTGAGATAATTTGTACACAATATTTTGTGACACACACACACACACACTCACACCCATTCACACCCACATACATCTGGATATTTACTCAAAACTTCAAATATATTAATTATGTCAAATAGTATTCCAAAACTAGATATTTACAATATGTACATAGTAATTATTCTAATGAACTAAATTGAAATTATTTAGAATGTAGATAAAAATCAGTCATAATTTATGTGAACTATAAAAAATTAGAGTTAATAAATATTTTGACTATAGGTAATAATAATATTTATTATGTAATAATGCTTAATAAATTAATTAATTTAAAAATATTAACTTTTTTCGATAATACCAATAAGAATCTGTTTGATTATTATGAAACATTTGTTTGACGTAACACTAAATATAAGCAATTTCATACATCCTATGAATTTATTTACTTCTAATTTTTTGTCTATTTTATTATTTCCTGAGTTGTGTAATCACTGGTCCTCATTTTTAATAGCACTTATTAAGTTTTAATTATAATTAAGATCCATTTTTACTAAAACCGGTTTCATTCGCCTTCTTCAATGAAAATGTTCTATTATTTCATTTATATGTCAAACATGGGAATGGTTTTTCTTTTGTTTTCTCGTCACTCCATAAAACTTTTAAGAATTTAATCCAACTAAATTTATAAATTCCAATCAGTGAGAGCTTTACACAGCTTTAATTATTAAAGGTGGTCCTAAAAATTATTATGATCTTCAATCGTCACAAATTAGGCCTTAGGATGAATACAATCGCTTGTCATCCAGAATGAACAGCTGTTGACTGGATAAAACCAGTTTCAATTTGAGTTATAGTGATGGTCTTATAAGTTTTAATCAACTGGCCCTTTTGTTATTTGTTTACGTATATTACTATACATTCTTATGAACAATAATTATTAATTTTCTTAAATATTTTTTTAAAGTTAATTACTTTATTAAAGAGTGCAACAATTACTCCCTTCTGTTTCATAGATTGTAATAGATGCCATATCTGGAAATTGACTTATTGAATTATCTTCAATCTAAATTTTCAAAAAAACTCATATATGACTCTTCTCTACGTTATATATTTTTTAACTTATTCCACACAAGGTAAACTATTATAAGAGGTAGCCAAGTAAATATACATTCAAAAATTAACTTTGCAAAAAGTTTTACGGTTTGTTAAAAAAATGTTCAGCGAAGCCGTAATTCCCACATAGCACAACACTTCGCAGGACATTCGCAATGCGAAAAAACTTTCGATGCGAGTTTGCTAAGAATTTAAAATGCGAATTTGCAGAAAAGTTAAAATGCGGGTTGTAGTTCCGATTAGCCCAAACCTCCATTTTTTTTGCAACTGTGTATAATCTCGTATTTTGGTGAGCTGATTACAAAAATGATAGTGAAAATTGGTGCAAATTTGATTATCATGGTATAAAACATAAAAAACACCATACAATTATGGTTTTTTTCAAAATAGTCATTTCTTATATATGCAAACTATATACTTAAAGAGGTTACAGCGGAAATAGAATTAACATTAGTAATTTAATGAAACTTGGTCCACTATTAGATAAATGTTTGAAAATTTTGTAGCTAAATTTTTCAGACCCCTAGGTTCTTGTGAAAAAAGTTATAAGCGTTTTTGTTTTCTAACAATTAACATTGTGTCTTATGGGAATTAAGTACTTTTTCATACATATTTACTCACCACAAAATAATTAACATTAGGAAATTAATGAAACTTTTTTTAATACAAAACAGATATTTAATGATTAAATATCTGTTTAAAAAAGTGTTATTAGGTTCTTTGTGGGAGCTGCAATAAATTAATTTTTAACAATATTTCACGTTTTATACGTTAAATTGAACAGCTGTCAGAACGTCATCAACGTTGCACACTTGATCATGTATATTATACGTTAATTTTGTGCGCTAAATTTTAAAATGTTGATTCTGATAGCACGTATAAAATACGCTATATTTAAAAAGAAAATAAAAGTTAATAAATAATATTGATTATACATTTTTAAAATTAAATTAAAGTTAATTAAATAGAGGGATAATTGTTTTATTAAAGTAAACAAGTCATATAGCAACTATTTGCAACTCGACTGACGTAATGTGGTGTTGCCGAACGTTTCACAGTACCGAGAAAGTCAAATCATAAAATAATGGTCTCTGTTTTGATTAGTTCAGTCAATCCCTATAACCTTCTTAATACATACATTTTTAAGTTAAAATCAAACATCAAATATAAATGTAATAAAAATTTGAAGTAATTTAAATGTTAATTTTCAGAAATTAATAAACTTTAAAAATATTACTATCACGTGATGAAACCCAATCGGTTATACTCGGCAATAACCGGATATTTTTCGTATATCGTCGGTAAAGTTCGAACAATCGAATGCTACTAAGAAATAAAATTCGTATTTTCAATGGGAATGTTTTCAAAAAACAATTTTAGATGTTACAATAACCAATTCTAAGATAAGTAATATTTTTAGTACCTCTGCTTCTTTCCAATAAAAATATAATATTTTTAAAATAGAGTGTAATCCTACATAAGAAATCTCTAAACTATAATATCTCGAAGTTTTGTGTCGATGACGCTTAACTCTCTAAGTTCTGTCCCAGTGACGCATATCCCATTGGTCGGTTGTCACTGTGACGCGTATACCATTGGTCAAAGATATATTCGTCGTCTTTGTCATACAGGCACATTAGACGTAGACACATAGAAACGTATAGTTGTTCTCTTATCTTCTTCGTATAGTCACGTTAGCCGCAGACATCTATACGTATAGTCGTTTTTTGTGATTAATGTAGAAGCACGTTCTTACCGACATATGGAAATTTAAAAAGTATGCACCATAGGTGACTTAATACCTACTAGAAATTTAATTGTTTAGCAGATCAAAAAGTCTAAAAATCATTTTTAAAAATATTGTAAGTTGACATTGTAATTCATCGTTTAGTTCAATAATTAAAGTTTACATTGCGTAAAAGATAATGCAGTCGGACATTTAATTGTCTCAA